CGTGGCCAAAGCAATGTGACCACAAACGCTATAAAATTATCATGGCCAAGGTCCCAACCATATGCAGTTGTGGGTACCGTGATTGTGAATAACTGCTTCGGTGAAGCTCCCTATGGGGCCACGAAGCGCTGCACTGGGCGGGGGGGAACGCTGTACTGTGTGGGTGGTGTGCCGAATTGGGTTTCCGGGACGCATGCGGACGGTCCCACTGAGGGCTTCGGTGGAGCTCCCTATGGGGCCACGAAGCGCTGCACTGGGCGGGGGGGAACGCTGTACTGTGTGGGTGGTGTGCCGAATTGGGCTTCCGGGACGCATGCGGACGGTCCCACTGAGGTCTTCGGTGGAGCTCCCCATGGGGCCACGAAGCGCTCTACTGAGTGACTGAAAATGCCAAATTGGGTTTCCTGGACGCGTGCGGACGGTCCCACTGGGGGCTTCGGTGGAGCCCCCTATGGGGCCACGAAGCGCTGCACTGCGCGGGTGAAAATGCCAAATTACATGTCCCGGACGCATACGGACGGTGGCACTGGGGCCTTGGGTGGAGCCCCCTATGGGGCCACGAACCGCTGCACTGGGTGAGTGAAAATGCCAAATTGGGCTTCCGGGGCGCATGCGGACGGGGGCACTTCGGCCTTCGGTGGAGCTCCCTACGGGGCCACGAAACGCTGTACTGGGTGTGCGGGACGCATGCGGACGGTAGCACTGGGACCTTCGGTGGAGCTCCCTGTGCTGGACTGGGTGTGCGGGACGCATGCGGACGGTAGCACTGGGACCTTCGGTGGAGCTCCCTGTGGGGCCACGAAACGCTGTACTGGGTGTGCGGGACGCTTGCGGACGGTAGCACTGGGACCTTCGGTGGGGCTCCCTATGGGGCTACGAAACGCTGTACTGGGTGTGCAGGACGCATGCGGATGGTAGCCCTATGGGGCCACGAAGCGCTGTACTGGGTGGGTGAAACGCAGGGAGGAGGGGGAGGAGGGCCACGAAACGCTGTACTGGGTGTGCGGGACGCATGCGGACGGTAGCACTGGGACCTTCGGTGGAGCTCCCTATGGGGCCACGAAACGCTGGACTGGGTGTGCGGGACGCATGCGGACGGTAGCACTGGGACCTTCGGTGGAGCTCCCTGTGGGGCCACGAAACGCTGTACTGTGTGTGCGGGACGCATGCGGACGGTAGCACTGGGACCTTCGGTGGGGCTCCCTATGGGGCCACGAAGCGCTGTACTGGGTGGGTGAAACGCAGGGAGGAGGGGGAGGGGGGCCACGAAAAACTGTACTGGGTGGGGTGTGCGGGACGCATGCGGACGGTAGCACTGGGACCTTCGGTGGAGCTCCCTAGGGGGCCACGAAACGCTGTACTGGGTGTGCGGGACGCATGCGGACGGTAGCACTGGGACTTTCTGTGGGGCTCCCTATGGGGCCAATAAGCGCTGTACTGGGTGGGTGAAACGCATGGTAGAGGGAGGAGGGAGGAGGAGGGGGGAGAGGAGGAGGAACGCGGGGACCGTCTCTTCAAAACGAGGACCCAACACCACAGGATGGATGGGAAAAACGCGTGAGCCACGATCAATTATTGGATGTTGGAGCGGCCCAGGATTGTCGGAAGTCTCCACATCGCGCGAAGAGAAGAAGGCAGCGTCACTAAGTGAAACTTTCACGCCGCTGGCGGAAGAGTTCACGGGCCTGCGGAAGAATGCGCGGGCCACGGCTGGGGCTCACAATACCGAGAGGGGGAAGAATCGTAAATCCCTCGCCGCCGTGAGCGCTGTCTCCCCCCCCCGGGAGAGGACGGGGGGGGGTCATCCCTTTATCACTCCGGGGGCGAACGTTGGCCCTCCCCTGCCGTGCCCACGGTCAGCCAGCGCGTGCGCTGGATATGCGTGCTCGGTACGATCGACACGGGCACGGACGAAGCCTGCCACCACTCCTTGCCCATTCCGGTCCAGATTTGCTGTCGGTGCCGCAGCGGGAGGCAGAAACCCGCCTGCCCAACAATGATGGCCGCTGCCCGATCCTCGGGCCGTACAGCGGTGCTCGTCACATCTGTGTCTGCGCCGACGGGGCTTCTATAGCCCCTCTTTGCGTCCAGCCCCAAGTCACTTTGCTTGGGCTTCCTTCAGGCGAGGTCATCGTGAAGGCCTTCGTCTTTGTCATCATTCATACTTATGCGGGCGTCCAAGTGTGAGGCCCCGGGGTTGAGCAGGGACCGACCGTCCCGGCATTCCTATAGTCCTACCACGAAATGTTCTTAGAACCCAGAATTGTTCTCGGAACAAAAAAGATGTTCTTAGAGCAGAAACCCGATGCGTCAAACCAAGACAGACTCTGCCAGAAATTTTCTGAGAACATTTCGTGGAAACCACAACAGGTTCTTAGAACATTCTTTGGTGGGGCTATTCTTTGGTCGGGGGGGCGCAACTCATGACCGGCGGCATGTGCGCGGCCCAGCGGGGGGGCCAGGGAAGTCAGGAAACAAGAGGAGGCGCCATGACATCTGAGGAAATATTATGGCCCCCGCCATGATATCCACCCCCCCCAGTCATCACCCCCCTCTTTGCCGCCCCCGACAGGACGCTCCGCCACTGCTTGACCCGGGGCGCCCCACCGCGCCTGGGCACCTCTCGGCCGCCGCGTCGACGCCCGGCCCCGCCGCGCGGACGAGCGCGCGCCGGAGGCCGCTCCTCGGCGGCTCCTGGCCCAGACAGCAGCCCGAGCCTCTCGAGCCTCGAGCCTCGCGCTTTGGTCCTCGAGCCTCGAGCCTGGAGCCTCGGGCCTCGGTCCTCGAGCCTCGAGCCTGGGTCCTCGGTCCTCGAGCCTGGAGCCTCGAGCCTCGAGCCTCCAGCCCCGATCCTCCGAGCTCCTGGCGGGCCAGGCCCTCCGCGGGAGCGCGGCCCCCAGGCAACCGCACGATCCGCCCCTGCGCCGCCGCGCCTGCGGGGCGCGCAGGTGTCGCCGGCGGATGCGCCAGCCCAGCAGGACCTTACCGTGCTCGCGTCGTGGAAAAACTGCGACGGGCAGCGTTTGGCCATCTTCGGCCTCTGGGGGGCCAAGACGACCAGGCAGGAAAGACCGGTCCTAGCCAGGAAACCCCATTGGAACAAAAATCGTATGTCTGGGAGAATGAGGCCCTGAAGGACGGAGACGTTTTCAGCAGTGGCCTTCAGCAGTGAAGGTTCATCTAGGGAGCCCTCTCTTGTCCTGATGGGCTGCATTGTTGATCCTTGAGATCCGACGCTACGAAACAATTGTCAACATCGCCAACTTTCACGTCCAACCCCATCTTCATGCGGCATGTTTCAAGCCGCGTCGATCTGGGATGGCCACGGGGCCCGAAGCTGGGCGAGAACCGCCAGATGCGCACACAATGCAGCGCCCGGGCCTCAGGGGGCACAGAAAGGAGGGGTAAGGGGCAGAAGGTGAGCTGGAAGGAACATCTCTCCGAACGTCCCCTGGGAGAAGGAAACGCGCGGCCTCCTAGATGGGGTCGGAGTAGATGGGGTCGGAGGATTGCACCCGATCGCCGATGTATCGCCGATACATCGACGACGCATCGACGATGCATTGGCGACGTCGGCGATGTGTCGGCGACGTCGGCGTGGAGAAAATCGGGCTCCGCATCGAGCTGCATCGCCGATGCATCGACGATGCATCGGCGACGCGGCGCGATCCTCTGACCCCATCTACCCCGACCCCATCTAGGAGGCCTAGAAACACTGCGGTTAACCTTAGGTCAGGCCAGTCCCCCTACAGGGGGATATTGGGCGACAAAATGAAGCATAAGTAACACATGCTCCAAAAATGCTCAAACAAATACTCAACACATGGTTCCCCGACGATTTCAATCTGACTATTTTTGAACATCCCCCCTGTAGAGGGACAGGCCCGACGTAAAGCCTTACCCTCCCTCAACGCATCCCCGACGGGGCACCGCCAGACGCGCCGGCCAGGGGGCGGCCGGGGTGAGCGGCGGCCGCCGAGGCAGGGCGTGCGCTCGCGACGCGCGGGCCGAGTGCCGAGACTCGGCGCCCGCAGCAGGAGGGCAGAACGGAATGGGGCCCTGGGACGCACCAAGAAATACACGCAGATAACAGGATCCCCCATACTTTCCCATGCTTTCCTATATTTTCCCATGTTTTCTAGGGTTTTTGTCTTCCCCCCCAGCTTCCCATAGTTTCCCATATTTTCTGGGACATCGACGATTCGTTGTGTCTGTGTGTTTTTTCCTGAAGAACATCCACCCTCGTGAGAATCACCCCGGCACGCGAGGCCGTTTCGCAAACGCGCCCAAAGAAGGAATCTAACAGGGCCGGGCTGTTTCGTAAACGCCCTGCAGGGCCGCCTGGTCAACGCCAACTGTCTGGTGCGGGTGCTTCTCCTCCCTTCCGAGAGCTTGGGGAGTCCGACAGGTACCTAGAGGCCTCCTAGATGGGGTCGGAGTAGATGGGGTCGAAGGATCGCGCAGTATCGGCGATACATCGGCGATGCATCGGCGATGCATCGGCGATGCACTGGCGATGCATCGTCGACGTCGACGATGCATTGGCGACGTCGACCTGAAGCAAATCGGGCCCTACATCGAGCCGCATCGGCGATGCATCGGCGATGCGGCGTGATCCTCCGACCCCATCTACTCCGACCCCATCTAGGAGGCCTAGAGTACCGATACCGCGCCTCCCCGGACCTCTCCCGGGGCGCGTTCTGACCAGGACTTCGGGGCGACTCCAGCGGTGGCGACGAGGAGCCTCCCTCAGGAGGCCCTCCAGGGGGAGAGCAGGCGAGGGGCAGAGGCATGGGTATACCCTCGCCATCGCTCGGACGTCCATGCCCTGTGTTTTTTGTTCCGGTTTCGTGCGTGGTTCTTTCGCCAAACGGTCCAGGATGCTCCTCGATGGCCCTCGCCGAAGGAAAAATGCACACGTCCGAGCGATGCCAGGATACCTGTCCCTCCTCCGAGAGCCGGGGCGCGCCGCCGCCGAGCGCGGCCGCCGAGGCGGGCGCCGTTCGTGCAGGTGCTCCAGGAGCCCCCCGGGCCCAGCTCCGGCAGGCTGGCGACCTGGCGCGCGCTGCGCCGGCCGAGGCGCCCGCCGAAGAGAGGGTCGCCCGCCGAAGAGCCGTCGGCGGCGGGGGCGCCCGTCGTCCGTCCGCCGATCGTTTCTCGTGGGTCCTTCGCTGCTCGACGCTGCTCGTCGCTCGTTGCATTCGTCATCGTTCGTTGTCAGTCATTCGTCGTCCGTCGGTCGTCGTTCGCCGTCCAGTCGTTCGTAGATGGTCGTCCTCTTCCCGCATCTCTCTCCTCCTCCTCCTCCATCCTGCTGGTCCTGTCCCTCTTGCTCCGGCTGCTCCTCCTCCACCCCATCCTCCGCTAGTCCTAAAAAAAGGGCGTCTGACCAACATTATCCAAGCGGATTCAACCGCGGGAACTAAGGACCCCGAATATGCTCAAACAGGACAGGACACGGCACAATCTCTCCTCCTGCTTTTCCTCCTCCTCCTCCTCCTCCTCCTCCTCCTCCACCGCCTCATGTACTCCTCCCACGACCCACTCTTTGAGAGATGATCTGGGGAGTCCTGCTGGGAAAATCCAATCCAGAAAAACCAAAAACCCGGAATGCTGCTGGAAGCCGCCGCTGCGATCGAGCTGACCCTGCAAGCTGGCCGATGCCGGCCGAAGCTAGAACCTGGACCCAGGAGTCCGGATATCGGATACCCAGAGCCGGCGCTTGCGAAGAAACGGACCCTGCAAGCTGGCCGAAGCCGGAACCCCGAACACGGAATCCAAAGTTCGGGGATGGACAGACCTCCCTTTAGTAAAACGTGGTTTAGTGAAAACGACTTCGGGCCCAAACCTGGCGGGCGCAAGCCTGGAAAATAACGGCCGCGGCGCCCTCTCGATAACCGAAAGCGGACAATTCACTAATCGGCGTGTCAAGGTAGGAGGTCTATCCACCTCCGAAAAGTAAATTCGGCGGTGGACAAACCTCCTTTCAGTAAACCTCCCCTTAATGAAAACGGCCTGCGACCGAAACCCACGGACCTGGACCCGCAAAAATGACGGCCGCGACGCCCTCTCGCGAACCGAACACGGCCAATTCCTGAATCGACGTGTCAGGGTAGGAAGTCTATCAACCTCCGCTGGATTGGGAGGTCCGATCCGGAATCCGCAGCTTGGACCCCGGAGCCCCAGACTGATTCTGGGAGCTGGCGCAGCGATCGAGCTGAGCCTGCACGCCAGCCGACCTTGGAACCCGGAGCACGACCCAGAACCCGGATGTCTGGACTGTATGTGCGAGGTGGGGATTTGTCCATATCCACCGCCTGGGAACCGACTGAAGGGGCCCCAGGACAAACAAATCAATACACACAAATAAAACAAATCCCCATATTTTCGCATATGTACTGGGTTTTTGTCTTCCCCCCCACTTCCCATATTTTCCGATATTTTCCTGGGAGTCGACGATTACTTGTGTCTGTGTGTTTCTTCCCCTCCTGATCCATATCCCCCGCCTGGGAACCGACGTTCTGGTGCCCCAGCGGGCGGTGGATATGGACATATGTTGGCCCCTTGGGGGCCCGAGTATGTCCATATCCACCGCCTGCCGAGGCTCTGCAAACTGACCCCTCGGAACATGGGAGACCAGCCCGAAACCCGGATCCCGGAACACAGAATGCTGCTGAGAACCGGCGCTGCGACACAGCTGAACCTGCAAGCCGGCCGAAGCAAAAACCTGGAACCCCACATCCGGATATCTGGGCCAGCCGAAGCCAGAACCGGGAATCTGGATGAAATTCGGAATGCTAGGGCTCCCAACTTCGCGCTTCGCGCTCCGCGAAGCGCGAAGCGCGAATAACTTCGCGCTCTCGCGCCGCCCTCCCAAAGGGAGAATAGGAGGACGAGGAGGAGGAGGAGAAGGAACGAGGACCGCGAAGCGCGAATAACTTCGCGCCCTCGAGGGAGCCCTTGCGGATATCTGGGCCAGCCGAAGCCAGAACCGTGAATCTGGATGGAATCCGGAATGCTGCCAAGAGCCGGCGCTTCGATCGATTCTTGAAGTAGGAAGGCGCCAGAAGTCGATGGGGATCTGGGAATCCAGGAATTGGACGCCCGAGTTATCCGGGGTAACTCGGGTCCGGGGTAACTCGGGTTTGGGTTCCCGAAAAACGAACCCGAGTTATCCCTGACCCGAGTTATCCCTGATGATTCGGGGCTCTGGACGCCCGAAATATCCGGGGTAACTCGGGTACGGGGTAACTCGGGTTTGGATTCCAGAAAAACGAACCCGAGTTATCCCTGACCCGAGTTACCCCTGATGATTCGGGGCTCTGAAGGAATGCCTACTTTCAACGACCGGCGTGTAGTTGCCTTGCGACGTGCCCGTCCGGGAGCTCTGGTCCGCTTCCCCAGGACTGGCCTGCCGCCCTTGGCACTCTTCTGACGCTCCCGAGAGAACTCCGATGCCTTGCTTCGTTCAATGCGTGGTCTCCGGAGGTCTCGACCCTTTCCTCGGCTACACGCAAGGGTGACCCCGGGTCAGAGCGAGCTTTGGTGCGCAGCTCTGCGGGGGCCGCGGGTTAACTAAACGCACGCTAAGCTATCGCATCGCGTTCGGCGATCGGGGGACTCCATTGGGCCCGCACCAAAGGTCACTCCGGCGAAGGGTCACTCTTACGTCTAGCCGATTTCCCCAGGGCTGGTTTTTCATCCCGAATCTTTGTTTGACGGTCCTGGGGCCCAGCCAAAGGTAGAGAAAAGGGCACGCCTCCGCCCTGATGTTGTTCAATACAGTGCAATGCGTTGGATCTCTGGGCGTCTCGATCTGCCTCGTAACGTCAGATCGGGGACGCACACGCAATTTCAGTGCCTTCTGTCTCCACCAAGCCGAGACTGAGGTACGACCAGCAATCTCCACCTGCCCCGTCGTCGGAGCTCTGGCCCCGCCGGGCCATCTCCTCTCCCTCAGCGATGCCCCCGCGTCGTTCCCCCCTGTTCTCTTCTCCTCCCTCATCCTCCGAAGAATAAGATCAGATGGTCCAGGACTGCCGGGCGATCGCCGGGGGGCAGGGGGCGGAGAAACGTGCGCGCTTCGTGCACCTCTTGGACCCCAAGGCCCAAAGGGCCCCTTGAGGGCCCCGAAGGTGCGCGAAAAGTTGAATTTGTTTCTCAACCACCCCTAGTTGGACGGTTCAGGCAGTCGTTACTCGGGTTTCAGTGGGGCCCCCATCGGCCTCGAGGAGTCCCAGGGGCTCTCGGAGGCACGTCCACAGCACTGAACTCAGCACGTGGCGCCGCTCGCAGGGTGCGTGGCAAGTGAACAGTGCGCCCTTCTCCAATCACTGGATTTGTCGTTGGCGTCTTCGCCGCCAGAACTCTCGGGCAAATCCCTGGCGGCCTCGCCGCGCCAAGGCCGCCCGCCCCGGAGAAACAGAGACAGCCCGTGCACGCCAAGGATGCACGGGCAGAACGGGTGACGCGGCCACGACGGGCACACTGCCGCGGGCACAGGACAATGCCATGGTGCGGTAAACCGCTGAGCTACCGCGGCGTGGCAAAAACGACGACGACAGCGACGGCGTCGTCGACGAGGGCAAGGGGGGGGAGCGGGGGGGGGACGATGAAGCGAAAACGGAGGGGGGGAGGAGAGCGTGTACCTCGATAGCTATTCATTCTCTGGGACATCAAGGAACGTCGTCATCGAGTCGAAGGGTTAGGTCGGGCCTGTCCCCCTACAGGGGGATTTTCGACGAAAAATAAAAGATTACCAACAAATGTTCAAAACATAGTCCAAAACCCTCGCGGTCTGGACTCCAGAACGCTGTCCCATGGACTCGCGACCCTGCGGATGCGCTCCGCTCGGGGCATCTGGGGGCAGAGCCGCCCCGCAGCCACGCGGTCGCGGCCGGGGAGCCTGGACCGTGAGGGCGTCGACACCGATACGGTGGGGGCGTTGGTTAATAAATGTGCCACGGGATGCTTGTCGGGCCGCTCGGGAGCTGCTCCAGCTCGTGCCAGCTCGCACGGAATGCTTGTCGTGCCGTTCCGGAGCCGCCATGGTATCGTTTCATTGTCTTTCGCAATGGCACCATTCGAGCCTGCTCAATACGTGGTGTTTTTCGTCTTGGGAGCGGCGGCTTCAGGCCCTGGGGATTTCCTTATCTCAGAAGGGCGGCGGTGACATCCATGGCCAAGCCACGATCGAAAATCCACTGGCTTCGAGACTCTGGGTTCCTGATCTAAGGGTGCCTTATCCAATGTCCTCACCGTATTCAGGGGGTCCGGACACGGCGCGGCGACAGACTGCGCGGTGACCTCGAGATCCCAGGAGACCTCACCGCGTGGTCCGTCACCACACCGTCTGGGGACTCTGGAAACCCCAGTCGCCAGGTTCGGGGAGACATAAGACTCGGGTTAGGGGGTCCCGGGTTGGCCCGACGGAGACATCCTGAAAATGACGGACCCGGTCTGAAATTTGACCCGAGCTCCCGCCACAGACATCCCACGGAAACTGCACCGCCAGAATCCAGGACGCGCTCGCCCAGGAACGTCGGCAACCCCGAGTCCGACGCGCTCGAGTCTCACGTTTCCCCGAAGGGTACGTCCACCAGAGAACGACCTCACAGGGCTCAACCTGAAAGGTCTTTTCTCGTTTTCGTGTTGTTTTCGTATTCCCTCGTTTTGTCTTCAATCCGCCTCAAAACGACGTCGAAACGAAAACGGCCCATGGAATCGCCAAAACACCGCTTTTTAGCCCATGCGGGCAATACTTATATCCATATCCAGAGCGTCTTGTACTGTTTGGGAAGGGGTGCCGCAAGGCCGAGTCGCACTGGATATGGATAAAAATCGAGCCTTGGAGGGCCAGATGTTCATCCATATCCAGTGCGCCTCCAGTTTCTGGGGAAGGGAGCCCAAAACTCCAAGACTCACTGGATGTGGATATAACCATTGCCCGCAGTCCAGCCCTGCGGCCCAAAGGCCCAAAAGGCCGTGCGGCCCCCCCGCGTCCGCACCTATACTCACCGCCTCGGCGCGGGGCCTCCGAGACGTGGCTCCCGCCAGCGCGCGGGACGAGCGGCCAGCTCCCCGGGCGCCCCAGAACTGGGAGGGCAAAACACTGCACGAACACAAAATGGGACGCACAGGGACATACTAATACATACTAATACTAGGAGGACAAAACACATTGTTGATTCACGGGTGGAGAGCGCACCTCTCCCGGTCGAAGCTAAGCGGGCCGCGCAGAGCTTGAATTCGCAGTGAGGGGGAGGACCGGGGGGAGAGCGCGGCCTCAGGGCGAGGCCGGGAGGAGGCTGAGCCTCGGGATCAGCAGGAGGACAGAACACTGCACGAACAGCAAAATGAGACACACAGGGACACACTCATACTGTATGTCCTCCTTGGGGGCCCGCGTCCGACCCGAACATGTAGTCTACTCTGGATCCCTTAATAATCGACCCCCCCCTAAAAAACCGGACCCCCCCTTCCTTCGCGACATAATTTTCCGGACCCCCTCCCGCAGAGGGCGCCTTAATATTCCGGACCCCCCCAGCAAAATTGCGAGCGCGACGACGACGACGACGACGACGACGACGACGACGACGACGATACGAGAACTACGACTACGACTACGACGACGACGACGACGACGACGACGACAACGACAACGACGACGACGACGACGACGACGACGACGACGACGACGACGACGACGACGACGACGACGACGACGACGACGACGACGACGACTACGGGCCACCATCCTGCAACGTGTGTACTACGGGCCACCATCCTGGTGTGCCACCCTGCAGTGCGTCTACAACAGCCCCTCACTTCGCCTTGAAGGCGGGCTTCAAGGAGAACTGGGGGGCACTTAAGTGCGCAAGATGATGTTCGCGCTTGGGGTGCGACGAGGAAACCATCACCGAGATAGTCGTCATCGCCATCATAAGTACCATCATTGCCACCGCCACATCATATCGTGATGATGGTGATAACGACGATGATGAGGATGATGACGATGATGTTGAAAATGTTTTTGATGATGATGCTGATGATGATGATGCTGATGATGATGTTGGTGATAATGAACATGATGATGATGATGATGATGATGATGATGATGATGATGATGATGACGATGACGATGACGACGATGATGATGATGCTGATGATGACGATGATGATGGTTAGTACTCCGCGGGCTAGTACCCAAAAGGCGCCCTAATAAACCGGACCCCCCTGAACGTCGGCTTCAAGAAACGCCTTAATAAACCGGACCCCCCTGCTTCCCCAAAAGGCACCTTAATAAACCGGACCCGGGGGACGATTATTAAGGGATCCGGAGTACCCCTCTTGTAGTAGATCGCTTCGCGAGCGGTGCGGCCAGAAAGCGCCCGCCACGACGCATATACTATAAGATTTCTCGGTGCGCGCCTTGCCCCTGGGGGTGCGACGCACATATAGTATAATCATGTTGGGGCGACGCCGAAGAAACTTCGCTGGCAACTCATGGGAGCCTCCCGTACCATCGTGCCGGCTTTTGAGAATCGACGCTCGACGAGGCAAACTTGACGGTCATCGACGCGAAATCGACGCTAATCGACGATAACCGGAGCTAAATCGGTGCTGACACATCGATTCCCAAACGATGATCGAAGCTAATCGAAGCTACACGCGGAATTAAGAAGGTATACTCGGCTCCCATGACTCACTACCGAAAAAAACTGTTGGAGATCCGCGCAGATCTCTTGGATCGGCACTGGACCCCCTCTTTGGCGCACGGACCGCCCCAAGGGCGGCGCCGGAAGCGCCGCCAAGATTCCGCGCGGGCCTTCGAAAGCATCTGTTCATTCGGGAGCGGCCCAGAGGAGGGTGTCCAAGAGGGGGGGGTGCACATCATGACAGGCGGCATGTGCGCAGCCCCAGGGGGGGGGGCTGGGGACGTCATGAAATAAGAAGAGGCGCCATGACATCTGGAGAAACATCATGGCCCACGCCATGACATCCCCCCCCTAGTCATCACCCCCCTTTTTACCGACCCCGATTCACGCAAGCCGTTGTTCTTCGAAGAGCGCAGCTGACTCTCCATCGGCTACACGTAAGAGTGACCCTGGGTAAGAGTGACCTTTGGTGCGCGGCTTTTTGGGGGCCGCGGAGGGGGCCAAACACAAGCGCGCAAGACGCCACTGCCGCCTCGCGTTCGGCGATCGGGGACCCCAATTGGCGCGCACCAAAGGTCACTCTGGCGAAGGGTCACTCTTACGTGTAGTCGACTCCAGAGCACGTGCTCCGCCCCGCCGCGAGCCGCCTCGATGCCCGGGCCGAGCAGGTTCCCCACGGCTATCTGGTCCACCGACCTCGGGCCGTGCGGCGCGGGGCGCCGCCGCGGCGGCAGCTCGGAGGGCCCCCTCTCCCGTGCCAGCCAGCTAGATAACGCCAGTCGACGCTGGATAAACGCCAGATAAACGCCTAGATAACGCTAGATAAACGCCAGAAAACGCTAGATAAACGCTAGATACACGCCAGATAAACGCCAGATGACGCTAGATAAACGGCAGATAAACGCCAGTCGACGCTCTCGCGGATCGACGCTGGATAAACGCCAGTCGACGCCGACTCAGGGCTGTCTCACGGATCACCACAAACGCCAGCGCGCGCCCCCTGCACTGTCAAGGCGGAATCTGAAGGGGACATGGGCTCCCATGATTCGCTGCCGAACACGGGGGGGTCCTCCTGCTCTCTTCTCTAAAGTCGCCTCGAACGCAATGTGTGATGGCGGCAGCACAGCTGCTTTCAACCCAGGACTGCAAGCATGCTTGTCCAACACGTTCCAACAGCGGTGAGCTGGCCTGAACGACATGCATGCACGCTACATGTAGCCCAACAAAATGCATGGATGATGGAAGACGGCTGCCCGGCCCGTCGTTCTCATTGTGCGAGACGTCACCGAGCATCGCGGTGAGGTCGCAATGGTTGTGGTCGTTAAAAGCATGCCTTGTCAGAGATATCCCCTTCCAATCTATCCCCTTTTGGTGTGTCCTCTCTTTCTCTCTCTCTCTCTCTCTTTCCCTCTCGCTCCCACTAGCACTACCTGGCACATTTCCGATGAGATCAACGCGGCGTCGCATGAGACCAAACGGTGGTGCAATGACGCAGACCACCTAAATTCTGACTGCCTACCAAATCCAGACCACCCCAACCTAACACGAAGACCCCAATTTCGGGTTGGGGGGGTACCGGTTCCACATGTGTTTTCGTCAGGATGTTCCGCGACCGCCCCCGACACAGGGAACGAAGGGCACGTTGGGGCCTTCGGGTTGGGTTGGTGTGGTTTGGTGGGTGGTGGAATTCCACATGAAGGCTGCGCCGCACCATGAAGCTGCACTCGGCCCCTGAAGTATCCGTTGGCAGCAATGGAGCACAGTGGAAACCCAACGCGCGCGACATTCAAGCCAACACCACGTCGGTCACGACCTGCCCTTCTTCGATCCCTGCTACGGAAGATGCTGGCTTGCTCGGGCAGCCTTGCAAGTGGAGGAGGGGGGGGGGTGGAGGAGGAAGATACAAACAGTTACGACGACGGCGCCTCCGACGCTCTCGAGCAGGAGAACGACGACCCCGACGGCGACGGACCCGACAAAGCTGGGTCGGACCTGGACAGGGGCACGATTCGAACGGCGACTGTCCGGGATCTGAGCAGGGACAGACCGTCCAAGGCATTCCTATAGTCCTACCACGGAATGTTCTCAGAACCCAGAAATCGCAGAATAACGAAAACAGTGTTCTTAGAGCATAGACCCGATGTGGTGAGACAAGACCATCTCAGCCAGCAATGTTCTGAGAACATGTCGTGCACACAGCAACAGGTTCTTAGAACATTGCTTGGTGGGGCCATAGGCGAGCCAGGACGCTTCGCCACTGCTTGGGGCGGCGGCGGCGGCCCCTGGCGCGGGGTCGCCCCGTGTAGCCCCGGCCAGGCTGCGCATCCGGCAGGTCGCGCAGGCCTCCGGCCCTGCGGCCCGGACTTGCCGCCGCCCGCCGCTGTCGCCGTCGTCGCCGCCGCCGCCGCCGCCGCCGCCGTCGTCGTCGTCGTCGTTTTCATCGTCGTTTTCGTCGTCGTTTTTGTCGTCTTCGCCGTCGTCGTCTTCGCCGTCGTCGTCGTCTTCGCCGCCGTCGTCGTCGTCGTCGCCGTCGCCGTCGTCGTCGTCGTCGTCGTCGTCGTCGTCGTCGTCGTCGTCGTCGTCGTCGTGGTGCTGCCAAGCATTCTGTGTGGCTAACTGCTAAACCTAAGTGCCAGGAAAACGCCACATGTGCCTGTACCCAGCTGGATGTCTGCACTCTGCATGACAACCTCTGTATCTCATGCTCTCGCCCCTTTTGTCTCGAAGCCCTTTTTACCTATCTGACCGGAAGCATAGATCCGCAAGTCGTCGAGCGCGCCAAAGCAGCTTGCGCCGCACCTGGCAGGGCTTACACCAGAAACACACTACGACATGTGTTGGTGTGTATGCGTGGATCTCCCTTCGCACACATCAAGTCGCACTCATATGCATACTTATGGCGGTTAAGTACTCTGACAAACATCCCATACTATGCAAATAACTCTCCACTTGCAAAAGCAAAACACGGTCACAGATAAGTTAAGATACCATCTAACCCAGACGTGCTTACAGAGGGTTGACAGGTGAGCCCCTCGCGGTCTTTGGACATGCCAAGAAATCGGCTTGACGGGAAGCAATGGCGCTGGATGACGTAACCATCCCCCGCACATGCCTACAACCGATGGACTTCTACAACAGTTGGAACATAATGGACAACTGCGGGGCCGAGAAATCACTTCCCCCATAGGATGCTCACCTCCAGACACTGCCGGACATCTGGTCCTCGGGTCATCTGGAGACCTCCCGACCAGGGTCCGAGTCGATGGGGTCGGATGATCGCGCCGCATCGCCAATGCATCACCGATGCATCGCCGATTCATCGGTGACGTAGGAACTGTATAGGCGACGTCGGCTCGGGCTCCACATCGAGCCGCATCGCAGATGCATCGGCGATGCGGCGCGATCCCCCGACCCAATCTACTCGGACTCCATGTGTGAGGCCTGGATCCTCCCGGCGAAGCCTCGGATCCTCAAGCCAAGATGGATTGCATTGAGTCGCCAACTGCTCTAATGCTGGAGCCTGGCTGCTTCGCATGCCCCTCTGGAAACCGCGGCTCAGACCAGGCTAATTAGGCTGCGGCAGGGCCACGTGTGAGCGTGGGCGGACTATATACCCCATCGCCAAGATCCCCACCTCTCGGGCCGGGCGAAAGGGGGGGCATAGCAAAGGGGGGGGGTTGAGAATCAGCTCACGTAGCTGATTTTCCTGGCGCCGGAAGGCGCCCATGTATCGAGGAAAGGGCCCGACGGCGGGGGCCGAAACCGGCTGCATGCAGCAGATTTCGTACCCCCCCCTTCCCAATCCCCCCCTTAGGTCCGGCCCGAACCTCCTCCTCCTCCTCCTCCTATGTTTCCTCCTCCTCCTCCTCCTCCTCCTCCTCCTCCTCCTCCTATGTTTCCTCCTCCTCCTCCTTTCCAAATCCCCCCCTTACGTCCGGCCCGAACCTCCTGCCCCGGTGACCTGGGCCTCGTGTGATGGTGGCGCCGGGGGCGCGCGTCGTGCCCGCGAGAGACTCGAAGCAGGGCGAGCCGAGACAGCAGCAGCTCAAAGTCGGCCTCCAGACCTCGGGGATGAACAGACCCCCCTTTGGCAAAACGTGGTTTAGTGAAAACGACCCGAGGCCCAACCCTGGCGGGCGCAAGCCTGGAAAATAGCGGCCACGGCGCCCTCTCGAGACCCAAAAACGGACAATTCACTAATCGACGCGTCACTGTTGGGGGTTCTGTCCACCCCCTCCTCCCCCTCCCCCTCCCCCTGCTCCTCCTCCTCCTCCTCCTCCTCCTCCTCCTCCTCCCCCTACTCCTCCTCCTCCCTCGTCCTCCTCCTCCTCCACCTCCCTCCTCCTCCTCCTCCTCCTCCTCCTCCTCCTCCCCCCCCTGTATGCCAACTGCGGCTGTCTCGCCGCGCCCACCTCCGAGAGACTCGGTGGCGAGCGAGAGGGGGGGGAAGCGAGCAGGAGAAGGCCTCCTCGGAAGGCGGCGGCGGGACTTCTCGGAAGCCCTCGCGCGCCTTCTGAGAAGTCTTCTGTGCCTTCGGGGAACGCTCCGAAAACTGCCCAGATGGCCCGGGGACCTCCGAGCCTTCTGAGAGGGCGTGCCCCTCCTGGCCCTCCTGAGCCTTCAGAAGGCTCGGAAGTCCCCCGGGCCTTCCGAAAAGTCTCCTGAGCGTTCCCCGAAGGCACAGAAGACTTCTCAGAAGGCGCGAGGGCTTCTGAGCAGTCCCGCCGCCGCCTTCTGAGGAAGGCCTTCTCCTGCTCCCCTCCCCCCCTCGCCCACCTCTGAAAGACTGCTCCACACCTCGAGGGGCAGTCTTCTCGCGAAGCCCTCCCAGGAGGCTGCAGGCGGGGCGGGACGGCTCGGAGGCAGGCCCGCAGCGCCCTCGAGAGAACACTGAGAGACGCCCGGGAGCCTGCTCCTCAGGTAGGCGGCGAGCCAAGGGGGGAAGTGAGAACTGGCCATCGCTCGGGCGTCCATTCCCTGTGCTTTTTTCGGCTCCGTGCGTGTTTTGTTCGCCGAACGATCAAGGATGCTCCTCGATGGTCCTCGCCGGAGGAAAAATGCACACGTCCGAGCGATGCCAAGAGAAGGGGCGTGCCTTCTCAGAAGGCTCGGAAGTCCCCTGGACTTCCGAGAAGTTCTCTGAGCCTTCCCCGAAAACAGAAAACGCTTCTCAGAAGGCGCGAGGGCTTCTGAGAAGTCCCGCCGCCTTCTGAGAAGTCCTTCTCCTTCTCAATTCCCCCCCTCGCTCGCCGCCGATCAAACTCTTGGCCATGTGTGCCGAATGATTGTTGGACACGCCCACTGCGTTTGCTTCCCGTACTGTCCTGCTTTTCGTCGTGTGAGCCAACAGCACGGACCTGGAAACGGTAAGAAACAATTGCAGCTGGAAACTATGAAAGCGCATCACCAAGAACACGTCCCCTTTAAACGGGAGACATGCTCGGCGAAGGAAAATAGCACGTTCCGAAGACGCACTTGAAACGTGCTGACGAACAGCAGCAAACAAACAACTTCGCCCAGATGCCGTGGGGGAGGACAGGGTGAGCCTGCAGAGAGTGGAGCTGGGTTGTAAAGAAATACGGTGCGTGTCGGAGGCCCAGCAACGGAGAAAATACATTAGCAGGAAACTATGGAAAGCACGCTGGAACGACGAGGAGTTGGAAACTCGATCTGCATATCCAGATCTATACGCAGATACATGTAATGGACCCACACATACTCATATGACATGATGTAGCTATAAACGCATACGTACAACGCCCTGGGCGTTTCCAACAACAACTTTGCATGTGTGTTGGCACATGCTCTGGAAAGCTCATATGGCGTCTCGCCCGTTTTTTCCTAACCATCCTGCGGTGCTCGGTCCTCGTTTTGACTGTGCATCGCCCCGCGCCCACCCTTCCTCCTCCTCCTCCTTCCCCTCCTCATCCTCCTCCTCCTCCTCCTCCTCCTCCTCCTCCCTCCTCCTGCTCCTGCTGCTGCTCTCTGTGTGTTCACTTCGGCAATGGCAGGAGTCGCATTGGCGGCCGCCCCTTCGCTTCGGCACAACCCTCGCACGGTTCGTGGACCCATCGGAGCTCAATGGAAGGCCCCGGTGGCAAAGTCACATGGCGGCCGCCCCCCCCCCCCCCCCCCCCATTTCGGCACGCCCCTCCCTCAAGTCCGTGGCCCTACAGGGAGCTGCACCGAAGGCCCCAATGGCAGCAGTCGCATGGCGGTCAGCCCCTCGTTTCGGCACGCCCTCACACGGTTCGTGGTTCGTGGCAAAAGTGGCATGGCGGCCGCCCCTTCGTTGCGGCACACCCCGGCACACCCCTCACACGGCTCGTGGCCCCACAGGGAGCTCAGCTCCACCAACGGCCGCAGCGGCAGGAGTCGCATCGCCCATTTTGGCAGTCCCATCGCACGATTCCACCGAACTCGCATAGCGGCCGCTCCCTCATTTCGGCACGCCCCTCTCGCGGTTCGTGGCCCTCCATTTAAGTCGGGCCCTCCTCCGACAGGGGGATTTTGGACGACAATTAAAAATAGAAAAAAAATACACCAAAATGGCCAAACCATTTTCAAAAAATAACACCCTGACAATGTTTAATGACTTTTGAATATACCTCCTGTAGAGGGACAGGCCCGACTTCACCCCACATGGAGCTCCACCGAAAGTCCCAGTGGCAGAAGTCGCGTGGCCGCCGGCCCCTCGGTCTGGCACGCCCCTCGCACGCTCCGCGACCCCACAGTGAGCTCCACCGAAGGCCCCAGTGGCAAAAAAGGCACGGCGGCCGCCCCTTCGTTTCGGCACGCCCCGGCACACCCCTTCACACGGCTCGTGGCCCCACAGGGAGCCCCACCCGAGGCCGCAGCGGCAGGAGTCGCATGCTGGACCGCGCCCATCCCGGCACACCCCTCGCACGCTTCGCGGACCCACAGGGAGCTCTAGAGGCTCCAGTGGCAAGAATCCCATGGCGGCAGCCCCCTCGTTTGGGCACATCCGTCACACTTTTCGCGGACCAATAGGGGGCTCCACCGAAAACCATCGTGGCACGAGTCGCATGGCGGTCAGCCCCCTCGTTCCGGCAGGCCCATGACCCGGTTCGTGGCCCCGCAGTGAGTTCCCCCGAAGGCCCCAGTGGCAAGAGTCGCATGGCGGCCGCTTTTTCGTTTCGGCGCACCCCTCACACGCTTCGCGGCCCCATAGGGAGCTCCACCAGAGAACGCAGTGGCAAGAGTCGCATGGCGGCCGCCCCCTCGTTTCGGCACACCCCTCACACGCTTCGTGGCCACAGAGGGAGCTCCCCCATCCGTTGTCCCACCTGCCGTGCGGTACTCACACTTGCATATGGTTGGTCATTCGCCA